AGTTGCGGTAACTTGCTGACAGTAAGTTACTTCATAAATACAATAAAATGTCTAACAGTGTAGAGTGCATACAGTAAGTGTTGAGTTACTTAACAAAATTAAGAAAAACATAATTACAAATGTATTTAAATGATGGTAATACTTTAGTTTAAGTTACCTGCTTATTATTATATTAACTGTTTATTAGCACTCATAGGCCCAGTTTCACAAACAGGGCTTAGATTAAGCTAGGACTAGGCCTTAGTCAAATTAGGTTATTTAAGACACATTTATAAAAATGGCCTTAGAAATATATTACTGGTGTGCAACCGGAGACAAAAAAAAAAAAAAATTACACTGACATATTTAAAGACATCTCACCGCAAGTTATTATGAGTTGAGACAGCTCAAACATGCAATTTAATCTTGACTAGCCTTTAAATGTCACTTTTAGCTGTATAGAAGTGTCTTGAAAAATATCTAGTCAAATATTATTTACTGTCATCATGGCAAATATAAAATAAATCAGTTATTAGAAATGAAAACTATTCTATTTAGAAATGTGTTGAGAAAATCTTCTCTCGGTTAAACAGAAATTAGGGAAAAAAATAAACAGGGGCTCTAATAATTCTGACTTCAACTATATATATATATATATATTGCAATGTCGGATTTATCCAGTATCGTGCAGCCCTAAACTAGACAATATAAACTGTGTTTTTGGCCTTATTTTTGCACAATACACAAAGCCTGCATTTGAATTTTGGCATTTCAGAGTTTCAATCCGTAATTAATAGCCTATATAAGCTTGCCAAATGCTTGTTTACTGCACTCCTGCCATAAAACATTTAATTCTTCTTCATGGAGATCGAAAAGGAGCAGTTTGAAAGACAGAAATCCTATTAAAGTCTGCTATATGAACAACATGCAAAGTCTTTTTTTCAATAGTCATTAATTGTTGTTTCTCCTGACTGCTTCACTCCTCTAGACATCTAAAATGTGTCCAACAATATCATTTAAATTTATTTTTCACAATGCTCCTTTTGATATTTGTATTTTCTTGCCGTCCAATACATCTAAGTTCAGGCCTCTTTCCAATAACGATGAGTCAGGGTTTTATAATCTCTTCCTGAACTTGACTTCTTAAGAAGGCTTAAATCTAGGCCTTAAATCTATCTGGCCGTCTTTAATTATTCTGTTATCGTAGAGTATCAAATCTCCACTGAGCTCAATGTCCTGTACAGCATATTGAGCGGCTAAAGAGTCAGATTTCATTATATGCTCTAAATTGTGTACTGGTCTTGTATACACTGTTGTTGATCCAAAACAATATTCATTTAAACTAATCAGATTTTAGGGGTCAGGCAAGGCTGAGAGTTATAGGGGCTTATATCCAACACTTTCAAATCTATCATGTTCATTTCATGGGTAGTTAACTGGTTGAGTGCATCTCGGAAATGATTCTTTTTTTTTTAAAGCACAACAAAGCACTTGAAAACTAGGCCAGTTTTAGCATTATTTTATTGAAGTCATTTTTAGTGGCATGTAATGCACACTTTCACAATCCAGTCAATTCCTGCCTTCAGTTTTTGTTTTTCTCATATTTTGAACTTTTAGTTTCAGCCAGAAGTGGATGTCAGTGACGCTCCGTGCTTTTCGGATAACCTTGCCCTCCCTAAATTGTATGTAGGCAGGCTATTGTAGGAACAGCTATTGACCACTTTTGCAAGTCAGTCAGTGGGTAGCTCATGACCAAAATAAGCTGCAGAATGGATCAGACCTTATGACACCAAAATGCAGATATTGTTCTAGGGATTGTTTATGAATGCTCAGTGATTTGACATTCTACTGTGTTTCCAAGAGTCCTAAAACTAAAATAGCAGTATATTCAGACTAAGATGGTATATATGATTGTTTACAGAACCCATTGTTTTCAATACATGTAGTAAATCTGAATTTTCATAGCTGATGATGTAAAATCAGGGTAGAAAATCTGAGCATTCAGTAGACCCTTTTATTACAATTGTATAACCACTCATTCAGGCATGTAGCCGGGGGGGTTCAGGTGGTTCGGAAGACCAACCCCTCACTGAAAAAGGTCCAGAATTTGTTTTATGCATGAGCTCTTTTATCCTATTTTGACTGCTATGCCATTATAGTCAAAATAACCCACCGAAAAAGGCTTTAAGACCAAGCGGAATCCTCTGTTCTGTCGGCTGTCGCTTTGATGTGACTTCAGCTAATCAGATTTGGCCAACGCTAACAAACATTTTTCATGGGTCCAACATTCCGATGTGCAATAAAACATACAAACAATAAGAGAAGTCATCTTTTACAACTGTATTGTTGAGAAAGCATTTTACATGTCACTTTTATTCTAAGTTTTGGACCTTATTCTTGAAACAAAAATGACCAATAAAAAGGTGTGAAGCACCAAAAGCGGCCCATATTAAAATAGATTTAAATACTAGAAAATAGTCAAGTCAAGTGTGGTTTTTATGACCATCTGACAAGCTAACTCACAATAGTGCATAAAATGCAATAATTAAATGTCATAATTAAATCGAAAATGAGGTTTATAATGTCCACTTTTTGAGAGAGAGAAAAAAAAAAAAGAATCACCCCTTTTACCAGGCTGGCTATGGTTCTGTCGTTACAACAGAGCTATGCAGAAGAGCACTGAACACACAACACGTCCAACCTTGAGGATGGATGGATGGGTTAAAGCAGCAAAAGACCACACCATTTGCTACTCCTGTAAGCTAAGAACAGGAAACTGAGGCTACAATTCACACAGGCTCACCAAAATTGAACAATAGAAGATTGGAAAAGCGTTGCCTGGTCTGAGTCTTGATTTCTGTTGCAACATTTGGATGGTAGTGTCAAAATTTGGCATCAGCAACATGAAATCATGGATTCATCCTGCTCTATATCAACAGTTCAGGCTGCTGGTGGTGTATTGGTGTGCAGAATAATTTCTTGGCACACTTTTGGCCCATTAGTTCCAATTGAGCACCGTGTAAATGCCACAGACTACCTGAGTATTGTTGCTGACCATGTCTATCCCTTTATAACCACAGTGTACACATCTTCTAATGGCTACTTCCCGCAGGATAACGCGCCATGTCATAAAGCCCGAATCATCTTAGACTGGTTTTTTGAGCATGACAATGAGTTCACTAAACTCAAATGGCCTCCACAGTCACCAGCTCTTAATCCAATAGAGCACCTTTGGGATATGAAGAAACAAAAAAATTGCATAATGAATGTGCAACTGACAAATCTGCAGCTACTGCGTGATGCTGTCATGTCAATATGGGCCAACATCTCTGAGGAATATTTGCAGTATCTTGTTCAATCTTTGCCACAAAGGATTTAGGCAGTTCTGAAGGCAAAAGTGGGCCAAACCCGGTACTAGTAAGGTGTACGTAATAAAGTGGCCAGGAAGTGTATGATCATTAGAAAAAAAATGTAATAACATTTCTTGGGCCATCTACTTCAGTGTGAATAAATGAGATTAAATGTAGAATCGCCACAAACAGATTGTGTTTTTTAGAGAAACGAGAACATTTGGTCAAGTAAAATAGTTACTGCAGTAAAAAAAGTTTAGGGTCAGTGGCGTAGCGCAAAATGCGGAGACCCCCCTGCAGGGAACACTGACTGGGCCCCCAGTTGAGGGGGTGGGGGGGAGCAATGCGGGGAAGCGATCACAAATTGAGGAGCAGGGAAAGGAGGCGGAGTGGAGCGACAATGCGGGGAAGCCTTTACAAACTGAGGAGTGGGAAAGGGGCTGGGGTGGAGCGACAACGCGGGGAAGCCTTCACAAACTGAGGAGCGATCACAAACCGAAAGCAGCGAGAGCGTCAAAGTAGCCAGAAGTCATTCATTTTTAACGAGAACTGGCGGCGAGGAACAGTGGGGCACTTCTCCTGTGTGGGCGTTGAGGAGAGTTGAAATCAAGTCAACTTTATAGTATGAGCTATGACGCGGTTCGGCAAACAATCAGAATGAAGTAGTCCACCACTTGAGAGGAGTTCAAAGAACACAGGCCTGTGAACTTTGGTTCCGACCACAGTTGTTCCCAAAAGTTTGATTATTGCAGTTGCCGGATTTTAATTACTGAAAATCGCGACGACGTGGGGCCCCCTAATCACGCGGGGCCCCCCCGCGGTGCGTGCCCTGCGGGCCCGTCCGCTACACCACTGTTTAGGGTTTTCCTTTTACTGATCATTTCCTCATGGCAAGCTATAACGTGGTTTAGAATGCTGTGGCTGAAGGTTCAAAATGATGTCAACAGAGAAAGACTGCCACTCCAAATGCAGAAGCAAATGGTCAAACTTTGACTAAAGATTACCAAAAACAAACATTCCCTCCCCCACACTGAATTTACTCACACAGATCAATTGGTCACTAAAATAATAACAAGATCGGCAAGCAAAATATCCTGATGAAAAAAAAACAGCATTTGCTGGTAAGGTATGGTTTTGATGCTGGTTTCAGTGCTGGTCTTGCTGGTGTTCATGCTGGTTAGGACCACCACTGAGACCAGCAAGATTGAAACTAGCAAGACCAGTATTGAAACCAGCGTCAAAACTTAGGCTACATTGCCAGCCTAAACAAGACTGTAAATTTTGAATTTCACGGGCTCGTAAAATTCAAATATTAACGGTCATAACGGCCATTTTCGTGAATCCATGTTTTTATGATTATACACCTATTAGTGTACGTGTTCGAGGATTTATAAACATTTGCCGCAAACAGATCGTGTCGTCGAAGAAACAACGAGATTAAAATAGAGTTCTATCAAAATAAATACATATAAATAAATATAAACTACTTCCTGGTGACAGTTTGATGCTTTAACAACCCTGCATTGCACGGAGACCACCAAATTAACCTTCGTTTCGAGCTGTAGTGCAGTTTTATGAAACGAATATGTTTTTTCCTGACAGGAGTGCTGATCCACGAACCTGTCCTACGTGTTCAAAGGCTGTCCATGACACTATAATGCAGTTGTTGAGAGGTCGCGTGGGTTGTTGCGGGAAGCCTGAAGGTATGAGCAGGAGAGCGTTTACCCGAGACGGGTTTGTAATTACCTGACTTGCCGGTGACGTGTAGAAGTACAAGGGAGAGAAAAAAAGGGAAAAAAGAAGTACAAGGGAGAAAAAGAGAGAGGGAGAGAGTGGATGGATGGAGGCGGAGCGCAGGAGCGTCTCTTTCTCTCTCAGTTCCTCGGAATCACAGTGACGGACATCCCGCATCCGAGCGCACTGAACTCGTAAGTTGTGACGATTTCTACAATTTTAAATCCACTTTTTAGCGATTTCATGAATGAATGTGAAGCGTCAGAGGTTACGTGAGTAGTTTTATATATGATTTGCAAGCGTTTTTCCGCTGTACAGCACTGAAAAAGTGAAAATATGCAGCCTTTACTGTATGGAGCTGTGTCAAACCGATGTGTGCATGTTAAAATTACTTTAGTTGGTGTTACACAACGTAGTCGTTGATTTATTCATTCATAAAAAGCATTTATAAAACCGGTTATAGTAAATGGGAACACTTGAAACGCATTTAGGTTTAAGAAAATGTATGTGCAGTGTAATTGGGAATGAAACATTTAAATGATTAAACATCACGACTAGCTAATTATTTTTGTTGAATTTCAGAAATATTTCTTTGCATTAACTGTATTAACTATTTTATTATTAATTTAAATGCATTTGAATGTTTAAGGTATTGGTTTTGATTTATTTTATGATTTATATTGGATGTATAGCATTATGCAACAGATTCAAACAGCATTCACAGATTTTGTAAGCACTGTTGTTAGTCTACACGTGCTGATTTTAGCATAGATTTCTGTTTCTCTGAAGAATATGTAATGTAATCTCGCAGGAACAACTTGAACTGGATGAAATGCGCTGTCCGTGGTGCTGAAACCATGCAGACTTGGGCATTTTGAATGTTGAGAAGAGTGTAATTCTTTCCCTCATCTTTTGCTTTTCAGATTAACATAATGTAGTCAGTTCTTGAGCGAGTAGATTTCAAGTTTTGACTCTCCATCCACTTGAAATGGGCAATGCACAGTTGTTGGCTTGACTCTGTAAGCAGTATGCCTTAAAGAATGAGAGTCTTAGGGAGGAGGACTGTTGAAACGATGATGCGTGGAGATGGACATTGGAGGACCCGCAAGACTGCGTGACAAGCGGGTCAGTGCTGGTTTGAGTAAGTCATAAAACGAGGAGAAACACACCCTGAAGCCATGGGGATACGACATCTCCTACTTCTATTGGTCTATCTCGACCCACTCTGCGTCCTGAGCGCATCCACAACCAAGAGGAGCAAACCACCTCCGAAAAGACCCCCAAAAGTGAAGGAGGTCAACAGCACAGTTGCTCCAACAGTGGCGCCCCGACGGATCACCCAAGTCCAGGCACCCATCATCGGCGATCACGACATCTGTCTCGGCTACTATGATGTGAGTGGTCAGTTTGACAAAGAGTTTGCCTGCAACAACACTGACCACCGGTACTGCTGTGGGAGCTGCTTCCTGCGCTTCTGCTGTCCCGTGAAAGCCAAACGACTGGATCAGAGGGTCTGTACCAACTACAACACACCCGACTGGATCAAAACCCAACCGCCCTCACCGGCACCCACAGGGGACACGTATGACCCTGCTCTGGACCAGACCAACACCACAGTCTACATCACCTGCGGAGTCATCGCCCTCATCATCATCCTGGGGATTTCGGCCAAAGTGGCCTATGATAAAGCCACCAGACCACCTCAAGAGATGAACGTCCACAGGTGAGTCCAAAAAAACTAAATAGGTTTAAGTTAAAGCTTCAATAGTAGAATGTAGGGTTAACTTTAGCAGGGCTCAGCAATAAGGACTGCCCGATGGCCCAGGGCCAGCGTGAAAGATGCTCGGGACAGTAGACAGAATCGTTGCTGGCCCGATCAGGGCAGTGCTGCCTTGTCACTAAATTTAAATAGACGGCAACATGACTGTAACATCAAATCATGAGGCTAAAAGAAAACGTCTGTTTCTAACGTTGTGGAAACATTTAAATAGGTACAGCACGAAAAAAAAAAATGAAGTGATTTTTGCATAGTTTGCTGTCACTTTTAAGACAGCCACCTTTTGTTTTGCAATACAATACCTGCGCATTTTCCATACTGCTGTTTTACTGCTAAATATTTTAACATTTTTCAAACATTTAAATTCTGCATTCACATACATTTTTTCGTGACACATTATTAATATATGTGGCTAATAAATAGCAATTAACCTTTTTTTTTTTTTTTTTGCGGGGCCAGTGAAAATTTTGGCAGGGCAAGTAAAAATCTGAACCACTGGTCCAATTGGGCCAGTTGAAAAAATCCTTAGTGTTGAACCCTGTTTAGTGTAAGTACCAATTTCCTCTCTGTACTATTGGCGTATTACATGCCTATTATAAAGATGTTGGCTGTTTATTAGTACTTATAAAGTATGATCTTATTCTAGTTAGTTAGTTTACTTTATTGGTCCCCATAGAGACATTTCATTTACAGCATACACTCACAGAGGCTTCTGACATTTCACACTTGGCATATATATATGTTTGAAATTTTTTTGGGTAATATTTAAAAAAGGAAAAAAAAAATAAGGGGGGCTAATAATTCTGACCATATTTTATATACTATGTTCTGATATATAAATAAATAAGTAATTTAAAATCATGGAACTCCTACTCTAAATAAACATCCAGGCTAGTAGCCATCAACTGTGAGAGGAGAAATGTAAAAACTTAAAATTAGTTGGGGTATAAATAATATTTTTTTCTATTTCTTACACACCTGGGAACACAATACGGATGACCTGATTGTAACAATTGGAAGTTGTTTGATTTAGTTCTTCTACATCGCTAATCTTACCAATACCTTAACCCAACAACTACCTTAATAACTATTAATAAGCAGCCAATTAAAGCAAAATCAGGTCAATTGGGACACTTTTTGCCATTTGAAATGACAAAAGAAATATTTGGATGACCCAACTGACCTGAATTCACCCTAGTAGTTTATTGGGTTAAAATCTTAGTTAATGGTTTGACAATTGTGAGAGTTGTATCTTATAATAAAGTGTGACTGGAAGTAGATATGGATTCAACGTGAGGTAATCTGGTTAATGTCTACATGGTATTAAAATAATTGGTATTCATTGGTACTGATAATCCCCAGAATCTTTGGAATATTTCTCTTTAAAATAGATATAGATTATTTAGGTCTTTGCTGTTTGGAAAAAAAGGGGATATTTAACAAAAAACTGTTCATTGAAAAGATTTTTGGAGAACCAAAAATGGCTCTTATGTGGCATTTCTTAAAAAACAGACAAACACCCTTTTGGAGAACCTTTATTTTTAAATCTTAAGGACTGGTAACCAAAGTTTGTCCAATGCAAACTAAGGTTGTTAAGGGATTGTTCACCCAAAATGGAAAGTTCTGTCATCATTTATTCAGTTTTAAACCCATGTGTTCGTCTGTTGAACTCAAAAGATATTTTTTTATAAAGGATTTCTCAGTGTTTTGTGGTAGATCAATAATTTTCATCTTTCTGTTTGGATTTCTACATCTTTCAAAATGTTATACAGATTTGCTCTCACATGATTTTGACTAGATGATGACTGCATTATCATTTTGGGGCACATTATCCCTTTAAAATGTTGCACCACACCCAGTGTAAGTATTATGAGGCATTTAGCCAGAAATGTGGCATATGGATAACCATCTTGAGGTAGTAATACGGAAGGTTAATTCATTTCATTATTGTGTTTCAAGATACTGAAGAATTGAAACTGCGCTGTTTGTCATTTAGGATGAGAGTGTTTGCTGAATGACAAAGAATACCATTAACTCCCAATTGCGTCGCATCACATCAGCATATATTAAAAGGTGTCTTTTTTCATTCTCATTAGCATTTTAATTTGTGAAGACAAAAATGTGGAATTCAGATAAGAAGAATGATTTAAAGTAACTGATTCACACAACAAAACGATGAATGCTAATGAAATATAGGAGTGCTTTATGACATACTGGGATGTTGTAATTCAATCTTTGGTCAAATATGGACAAATCCAACTATTGGGTTAAAATCAGGGTCCGATTAATACATTGATGATCATGTGTGGGTGAGGGGGGAGGGGGGCAACTTTTTTCACATGTGTAATATGTAATACTTCAAATCTGTTCACATAAATTACACACAATTCAGTAAAAACAAATACATTTACATTTTCAGTGAGGGATATTGAGTGTATTCTGGCCTACAGTAACCTGATTAGCTAGGCCTATTTTAAACTGTGTGCCTAATTTTACTTTGCTTTTAGGCTATATGTAGACACAAGCAACTATTTTATGAGAAAAGTGTCTTGTGAACACTTATTGTGTGCAAAGGTGCTCCAGATTTGCAAGTTTTAGTCTGCTGAATGCATTTTGTCTCTCATAGACTGATTTTGCGTTCACAATGGTATGAACCGTTATAGGGGTGGTCAAATGTATATTTATATCATCTATTATATCAATTATTAATATTATTATTTAAGATACAAATCAGATCAAACTATTTCTCACAATTTAAAGGGATGACCCCTCATACATCTCATTTTCAGATGGAATTAAGAAGGTCAAACCCCCCTATAATTCGCACCCTGGTTTAACGTGTTATTAGAATTCAATTGAAAAAAATAATAACCAAACATTGGTTTTGTCCACATTTGACCCAACATTAGGTTAAAACAACCCATCATGTTTTATTTATTCATTCAATTTCCTTCGGCTCAGTCCTTTATTCATCAGGGGTCACCACAGCGGAATGAACCGCCAACTTATCCAACGTATGTTTTACACAGCAAATGCGCTCCCAGGTGCAATCCAGTACTGGGAAACACCCATACACACTCATTTACACACACTCATATAATAGCTCATCCAATTCACCTATAGCGTATGTCTTGGGACTGTGGGGGAAACCGGAGCACCTAGAGGTAACCCACACCAACACGGGGAGAACATGCAAACTCCACACTAGACCAGTGACCTTCTTGCTGTGAGGTGACAGTGCTAACCACTGAGCCACTTTGCTGCCCTCCCATCATGTTTTAGTGTGATTTGTCATATTAAAGCATGAGACTGAATGAGGCAACGGGAGATAAATGAAACCCTCTGACACATTTCTATTGAAACGTACAGTACATAAACTAGACCGCGAATGAAGGCTTTGTGGTTCTGGATCGCAAATTAAGCGGCAGGGTTCTGGGTTAAGAAGGAATATTAATAGTTAATTGCATACTGTATTAAATCTAGGACTCATCTGCGTCTAGGAGGGATTGATTCTGGATTTCATTAGTCTTGCGCTGAGATGGAGGTCAGCTGGAAAGTGTTGCATCCTGGGGAACTAGGTTTCCATGCTGTAGTTTGTCAATAAAAGACAGATTTATAGCACTTTGGTATAGCACTTTTGGTGTCAATGTCAAAAAGGAGACATTTCAGAGATTATCTCTTTGTTTTTGAAGGTCAAATCAGACATCGGTATTGTTTATTGATTGGGTTTTTGTTAATAAAAAGTCAATGGTAACCGAGAAGGATGAGTTCTCGTGTTATGACTGACGTAACGTTGACCTCATAGCCGCTGGCGTCACTCAGGGAGTGCAAGTCGATCCTTTTGCTGGGCTGTGGAGAGTATTGAAGATGGCAGGTTGCTCTTTTCTTATCGAACTGATCCATGTAGCGAATATGAGTCAAGCTCAGGCTGTCTGATAAGAGTTTGGCTGCTGCTCACAATGAGGCTTATTGGATTTGGGAAGACCGAATGACATTCTGTACAGCTGCCTCACACATGTGAGCAGCATACATAAAAATAAACAGACTGTTGTTATTTACGCAGGTCATTTCATACCCGTGACTAGGCCAACATGAATTGGCATGAATTTTTTTTCCCCAAAGTTCTGCACTGAAAAGGGCAAAGAAAGTCCACAGCCCTACTTGTTACTTACTTCTTTCATTGAAACCAACGGAAAAATTATAATATCTAAATTCTAAAACCATTTATTTGTAGAGTGTGATCAAAATTGATATATTGTATGGCTAAAATGGTGCAAATTGGTCAAATATGAGGGTTATTTAAACAATAATATGATGCTAATTAACATTAAAACAAATAGATAATCCGTAATTCTGGAAAATGTTGTTTAAGCATGTTGTTTCAAACCTATAATTAGGCCCACATGAATCTGCATGTTTTTAATTTTAATAAATTTGTTATTATTATTATTATTATTAATAATATTATTATAATAATAATAATAATTATTATTATTATTATTTTGAAAATTCAGAACAGAAAAATATAAAAATAATATATATATTTAAAAAAAAACAGTTTGTAGTTTCTGTATGGTCTGTCAACCTATGACTTTAATTAAAAACAATGCAAAAAAAATCTATATTTTCTGTAATTATTTGTCATTAGATAACTTAATTTAATTGTAATTCATAGTCAAAATTGCTATATTGCTATACATGGTTAACATGGTCCAAATTGGTAAAATATAATGCCTATTTGAACTTATATATATATATATATATATATATATATATATATATATATAATAAAACCTTGAAACAAGATGAATTGTATTTCTGGATCTTTAACCTACAGTATGATTAGTCCCACATGGAAAAGAGAAAAAGCAAAATAAAAGCCCACATTTTCTTTCTGGTCTTACTTATGACGTAACATGTTATTTTCATTAGAATTTACTTTAAAA